CACCCTACATTCACATCTACGTGGAATGGAATGAACGTTAACTAAAACATATATAATAGTATATATATTAAATTGAAATGCCAAAGGCTTACATCATAATCAAAGGGTGTAACCCTTACAAAATGGCAACACCAAATAAATAAAACAAATGGCCCAAGGCCTACAAATAATGGAACCACCCTATCCAGCTTAATCAGTACTCCAATGTCGTACACGCAACAACTTGAAAAACATTTTCAGCCACGTAGGGTGAGCATAAAACCTGGTAGAGAATATTTCAAACACTAAAATGCTCCACTAGCGTAAATGACATGATGTCGTACATATATAGATATGACAATACCCTTCAAAATCTTCGATTTCCTAACAAAATCCATTTTGTTCCAATCATCAAACCATTCGTTTATTCAAAACTTTTCCGAGTTCAAACATCTTTGAACAAAATCATTTCCAAAACAAGTCTGGTTATATACAATACCAACCAGCTGTGTTCTCGAAATCACAAACCACTATTTCTTTAAAACTGGAAATAGGGGGTAAATACACACACTGGAAATTCCTAGGTACTGTCTATAAGTAGGCTATACAAGCACTACCAAAGCCATTTTACAGTACTATTCGGAAGGATCGCACTAACCGTGCGAGTTTCTGACTTTCACAAGGACAAAGAACCAACTTAATTACCACAACCCATACCCCCTATCCAGATTCACCAGTATTCATCCCTTTTCCGTTTGCACATAAATGTATTCCAAAAACATCTTTAAATAATGCACAAGTGTTCTAAAACATGATACAAGAATTTCCAAACATTCTTTCCAAAACATAAGTTTTGAGTTCCAAAATCCATTACATACTCCATGATATGAATGATTTAAGTTTGCCTAATCCAATGCAATTTCTAACACCGCAATGCTATCCTCCATCCATAGCCAAAAAGTTATCTCTATTACCATAATTAAAAAGAAACTAACAGATAAATAGTTCAAAATTCCAAAACTCATATATAAGTATTTCCCAATATTCCACTAGTTTCCAATTTCCTCCACATTTTCATTTCAAACAAATGTTTCCGAATAATGTCCGATCCCAAAAACAATATATTTAGGTTTTTCACAAATTGGCTTTTTCTTTAGAAATCATACGCAATTGTAAATACAAAATAGATTTAATAACAAAATCATAGCCAAACAACCCCAATTTGGAACAAATTCCCAACCTAAAATTAATTTCAAAATCAAAACACCACAAATCTATCTACCAAGATACGCCACAAATACACTACCAAATTCATATCGAGTTAAGGAAATAGACCCTACCTCTTGAAACGAAGAGGAAACATGTCAAAAAATTGCTAGCGACAAAAAGACAATTGCTCAGATTAAATGAAAGCCCTCCCTGAGCTCTACGGTATATGGGTAGGGTAGAAGGTGGGTAAAATAGATGAAACCAAGCTTTAGAGCTTAAAAAGCTCAAAAATGGCAAATATGTGTGTTT